TGATTGATTGATTGATTGATTGATTGACTGACAATTCACAGTTAGGTAATGCTTTCTTAATTCTGTGTATACACAAGATTTATATCTCAATAAATGCTTAAAATGATATTAAATATATTGTAGGTTGTGCATTCGTGTACGTAGTTCGTTCTGAAGAATATAAAACGCGACCTATAACGAACTTCAGCAGTGAACCCGATTCCTGCGAACTTTTAAATTATTACGGTTAGCAATGGCAGAAGAAAGAAGGAAAGGAGACCGACCGGCTCACGTGCGAAATTCTAGAGCAACTCTATTTGCATCGCTATGGCAACGGCATTGCCGTGAAATATTTATTTGATTACAAGTAGATCGCTGCCATGTAAAGTGTGCAAGTACTTCATTATCAAAACAGAATCCAAGACAAATATATTGCATGTAGACAATTTTTGAAATTACACGAAAGTCCATCATTCATTTATTTGAAAAATACATATTAATTTCATACCGGCAATTCATTAAGTACTTGTGATGTGATATCATAATAATTTACAGCAAGTGATACATACATAAATAAATAAATAAAAGTATAAATAATTGAATGAATAAATAAATGTAATAAATAAACTAATTATTAATTAATGAATTTCTAACCGCATTTATCTATCGCAGGTGTCAGACAGTAGGTTCCAATGTCTAATAAACGTGGGTTTGATATCTGCTACATCTTCAGGCTGCTCTTTTCTGACCGACACCTCTATCTTCTCCCACAGCTCCTCAGCGCTGAGCTTTATAAGTCCGCTCTCACTCACCAGCTGACCGCTATCAAGACGTCCCAGTAACTCATCCACGTGCCACTCACGCAAACACGCGACCGGCACGTATGAGATTGTTTTACGGTGGTCCTCGGCCAAAACATTGAAATTATCAATATAAGGATGCGGCATTTCGCAATTAATTGTACACGATTGTACGTACTTAAATATTTTACGCACGATTACTGGGAGCGGCAACGGATCCGCTGAGTTGAGTGGTGCGACATGAAGCAGCGCAAGTTTTAGGAGGTAGGAGTCGATCAGTTTCCTAGGGTTAAAGCGAGTGGCGATATACAGCTGAATAACGTCTATGTTAAATGCACGTAAATATAGTACGTCAACGTCTGTAAGCAACTCATACTTATTCAATTTAATATTTTTATACTTATAATAACAATCATGTACTCGAGGATCAAGAAATGCCTTTGCTGTGATTAGAGCCTGGCGATAAACTGAATGGAAATTTTTAATCACATTGCTTTCCGCTACTGCCGTACAGACGGACCACCACGTATTATCTGAGTCGACGCTAGGCTTGGGTACCACGTAGTAGTAGTCATCAGGAAAGAATGTTGCACCAGCTGGTTTGCCCGAAATTCGTACTCCCGGCGTGCAATCTACCGATATAGGTAGAAATTTAAAATGTCCGCCGCCAACAAATATCATGTCAAATTGTGTACAAACTTTGTTCCATGCCAAAATATGTGACCTTTGTGTTTGGAATGAATGCCCTCCGTTTTTCATGACTTTCGATACAGCCTGACACAATAGCGTAACAAATTCCTCCTTTAGATTTACCGAAATATGCTGGT